GAGCAAGTAGGGTCGAGTATCGAGTGCGAATATACTCTAGCGAGTCTCTGATTCCTTTTGTGTTGTATTTCAGAGACATCATGGTTGGGACGCGCCATCACCCAGGGGGGAGTGGTACCAGTGGTACCAGTGATGAGGAGATCCGTAGGCTGATTCACGAGGAGGTGGCCGCGGCCATCCGTAGGTACCAGTGATGTGTTGTCTATCAAGACCACGTTGATCGAGACTTTTGATGAGCGGTATGCTGCTCTCACTGAGGCTGCTGTTGCTGCGGCCACCGCAACCGTCGCTGCTGCCAGGCCAAAAGTCGCTCTATTGTAAATTCATTTAGGTCGCGTAATCCAAAAACCGCTCGAACTAAAATTCGAGTTTCGGGTCGTGCATTGCTAAGCCAAATCTTAGAAAATTCATAACTTCCTCATACGAAGTCAGATTTGGGCGTTCTTTTCATGTACGCTCTCGGTTTAACGTATTCTACGACTTTCGTTTAGATCGCTAAGGCTAAAAGTCGCTCTATTGTAAATTCACTATTTACGTCTCCCAGTGCCGTGCCGGTTTTGTCACGAAACTTCGACGGGCCATAACTTCTTCGTTATAACTCGGATTTCGGCGTTCTTTATATGTACGGAACTCTTGAGACATAATCTACAACTTGGTTAATATTATTTGTTCTAAATAATATTTTGTCGAAAAGTCGTTTTCGACCCCTATTATCTCTAAATTGACTAGCCTGGATCTACGGGCGTTACAAATGTTATATCATCAATCAATTCAAAGATAGGAGAAGTTGATTAATGTCAATGAATTTTAATACTTACAGTTGCGTTGATAAAAAAAGAATAGAAAAATTGGGTAGTATACTTCGTCTTCTCAATTCTAAACTCGTTATAGAGAAATTTATTGAAATTCAAGGCGATTACAAAGTAGTTGTTACCTTAAGTCGCTCAAGTGGGGTGATGTCGGACTTCTTGAAAGCATATGCCAGCATCGTTTTCCATGGTGGGTCTGTTTCTTGTATTGTGTTACAAAAAATGGAAACGAAAGGGAAGTGAGAGATGAGATAGGGTTGAGAAGACAAAACAGAGTACAGAGTGCATACCTGGAACCCGATTATCTCCAAATCGAAGCTTGGAAGCAGATGAGTACTCGTATGCCTTCCTATATCAACAAAAATGCTTCGATGGAGGATGGGGGAACAGCGGTATACAGAGGAATGGAAAACAAAAAAGCCCTAATTTTTAGCTTAAATTTGGAGGGTGGTTCGACGGCCTCTTGTCCACTATGAATTGATGGAGCACCTTCTTCTCAGCGAGGGTGAGCAGAAACACAAATGACTATAAGACGAATCGGTAGAATAAGCTTGGAGGGGACAAATCGATGGCAGGGAAGAAAACGTGGAATAACACGTGTGTAACACACATACCCAACCATCAGTGAGCCATTTTAAAAATAGTAACGACATAGATAGTAAGAATAAATGTGATGGTGAATGGAGACGAGTGGTGAATGACTGTTGGTGAAGACGGTAGTTGAGGCTGAAGATATATGCGCAGTGCAAGGCGTCGATTGAGAGGGAGGAGAAAGAAGTTAGGTAGAGGTCGACGTCTGTGATGCGTAGGGTTTTAAATTAATTTTCCTAAATTAAAGGAACTAATAACTTAATTATTTAATTACCAAAATTAATT